GTTTAAACTTAAACCAGGCTTAAACTCCTCTGCAGAAGAAGAGAATAATCCTCCAGCTCCTCCCGTGCCCACAACAGGCACGTCCCCCACACCTGCCAAAAACCCCAGGCTTGAACATGGTCCTTTTTTAAGGCTGAAAATGGCAAACATGGGGCAGGAAGGGATCGTTCTCAAACGCTGCCTGCATCACACCACCCAAAATCCAGTTATTCCTCTGGAATGCTGAAGGCAGGCAACAAAAAGCTGCCTCCTCCAGGAGCTTCAGCACCTCATCTTGTTGTTTTCCAAGCTTGTCTTTCAGTCTCAAGTCTTTGGTCTTCCTTCCAGCACCACTGGATCCTTCCCTGTCAGCGAAGAGCCTTCTAAAAATGTCAGTGGAATTAGAGGGAAACTTTTTGTGTAATTTTAACCTGCTCAGGGGGGAAGGAGGGGGGGCAAAATTCCACTCTAACAACAGGTGGGTTCACCAGAAAGGAAAGAAAATAAAACCAGTATCTTCCTGCTTCCTTCTCCCCCCTCCCTCCTGGCAACTATGACATCAAAAGCCCAACTGCTGCTGCTGCCCACACAGCAATTAAGTTTAATAGTCAAGATGTCAAGCAACACCACTGCCCAGTTCCTTTGGCTTTCCTGAAATAGCTGCCAATCTCCAGGTAGGGAATTTCTGAGACGTGGCAACCCACTCCAAAGGCAACAAACACGCTGAAGGCGAGTTCTGTTGTGTGAAAGGGCCTGTGAAAATGAGAGCCCACATTCAGGGCAGGATTGTTATTAATTTATGTTATTTGGAGGCATCCAAGGCCAAGCTGGGCTGGGTTTGGAGCAACCTGGGCTAGTGGTTCCATGGCAGGGGGTGGAACGAGATGGGCTTTAAGGTCCTTTCCAACCCAAACCATCCTGGGATTGCAGAGGTGGGTGGATGTGTCTCCTAGTCCAGGTATTTGCTGAAATAGGGTAATTTAATTAGGTCTTAGACTATATACTATATAATGCTTTTATCCTTTGCTACAGGTGAAGTGATATAATTCATAGATATAACAGTGCTAATAAAATATTGATAAGCTTCCTCCTTTTTAGTGAAATGCTCTGAAATAGGAATTATTTGCAAACTGTCCATTCAGCTCAGTTCCAGTTCCAAAGCTGATTTGAAGACGGGTGTCCCTGTGCTCTGGTCTGGTTGACAAGCTGGTCATCAAAGGTTGGACTTGATCATCTTGGAGAGCTTTTCCAACCTAAACTGGGATTCTGGGATTCCCAGCTTGGCAGAGATGGGAACACCCCCCGTGCTGTGCCTGTCCTGGGGTCCCAGGGTGCCCAATTCCCGGGCAGGGTCTGGCATTGCAACCCCACAGTCACTCGGCAAAACGGCACCAGAGCAACAGGGGAGCCATTTCCAGCTCCTCCTTCCTTCCCTTTTCCCCCCCACTTCCTTCCCTGGACTTTCCAGGGAGTTCCAGCAGGAAGGGGAAGCCTCCCTGAAGAGCTCTGCTCTCTCCAGCAAGCCACAGCTCCTGCTCATTCACCAGCGGGTCACTGCCCTTCCCCGCTCCAGGTCCTGCTCTGCCAAAGACAACTGCTGGGAGAAAATGAGGAATAACTGGAAACTAATCTTTAGGGATGAACAGGAAAGTTCAGGCAATGAACAGCTGTCTTCCCCACCACTGCTTTGCCTCAGGCTCCTGGGGGCAGGTAAAGTGCTGTTTGCAGGACTCGATGATCCCTGGGGGTCCCTTCCAGCTCGGCACATTCTGGGATTCCGTGACTGGGAACAGTAGGAAAAAGGAGTAAAACCTGCCCTCAAGCTCCCCAAGCTCACCTTATTATTTGTTATTTGCACATTCAAGTGGAGAAGACAACACACGTGGCTAAAATTCACCATTTCCACCCCAAGTTCCTGTCACTTCATCGACCTCAAACCCTCCTTTCCCCCAAAGCATCTCCTCCACATCCTCACACACAAACAAACCAAGTCCCTTCCTCTTCAAATCCTGCAATATCACAGAGTCCCTTTATTTATTTATTTATTTTGGGGGTGCTTTTAGGGGTTTTTTTATTATTGTTTTCCTAAGAGTCACTGGCTGCTGATGAAAGACTCTAATATTTACAAACACGTCGCTTCTACTGCCAGTCCGTTACCTCTCAAATGAGGACAGGGAAGGGCTGCTCAGCTCTGAGTTCAGCATAAAGTCAGGAGTGTTTGTGGAAAGTACAGGCAGACAACCAGTGATAAGAGCTGCAAACTGAAATTTTCCCCTCTTGTCCCCCACCAGCCCCAAAGGGTTGCGTTTTTAAGGCACAAAAGGAAAGTAAAGAGGCTTTGAGGAGTCAAGACATGAGACACAGGAGCATCAGGGGTTGTGCTGGTCAGCACCAGGGTTTAAAGCAACAAAAAAGGAACTGGAGGGATTTATTCTGCCCAGATCTACGAGAATACAGAGGTAACTATTAAAAAAAGAACCAAACAGCTGTGGGTGGGGAAAACCCCAGAGAAGCACCAAATGTGCCACGGGAAAGAGGCAGGAAGGGCTCGAAGGCTGAGGTTTGCACTCGGGGAGCTCAGAGAAGTTCAGGCCGAGCCCAGAAAGCCAAGTGGCAAAGGTTTGCTGGCTTTTTGGGAGGCAGGGGAGCTGGCACAGGTGAGGAAGGACATCACAGCCACCAAGAGGAGAGTCAGCACTTGCTCAGACTAAAGCAGCACCAGGACACGCAGCCCCTGCCAGGGCAGGACAGGGAACACCCGCCCAGGGGCTCCACCAGGAAGGGGTGAAAAAGCAATGTATTATTCAGGATTGTGGATGACCCCTTCAACTTCTACAGGAAGGAACTCTGTAGTCAACCCACTATTTCAGACTGCTTTGTTAGCCCCATATTTTGACTAATTTAAGTTAGTATCACAGTCAGGATCGCGGGGGTCCTCAGAGCAACTCCCCTGCCAGGATTCAGCAGCACCATGTGGCACAAAACCACTAGAGAAATATTTTTCCAAGTGTTCTCGTGCCACAAGAAAGGCAGGAGCAGCGAAGTACTGGAACACACAAAAAAAAAAAATTCACCCAGATCTAGTGTGCTGTCAACAGCACAAAAATAGCAGCACCTAGAGACAGACTCTACTAGTTATACCAAGGGTAGGTTAAAAACAGCACACCTGAACCCAAACTTCGGGGTTTTAACATATCACAGAGCTAAAAAAAAAAACACCTGAAGGTGCATCTATCTGGAAAGAACGTGCTGGAGAGTCAAACTTCAAAGAGGCAAAGGTTGCAGATGTTAAATCCCGAGTGCATCGATGCCCATTAGAAGCATCTTAACAGCTAAAAGCTCATCCTGCATCCCCGTGCCCAGATCCTGGAAACCAAAGGTCCTTTCCAGCAGAGAGCACTCCGTGGCATCCTTTCAGAGAAGTCAGTTTATTCCTGCCTCAGTATTATGTCAGATTTGCTACGCTTTCTGCCCTGCATTTTCGAGTGCCTGCAACGGCTTAAAGCATCTCCCACATGAACGGCACGGCTCTAAAAGCATCTCTGGCTTATCCAGCGATGGGGAGGGGAAAAAAAAATACACGGAAAAGAAAATTACACGTTGACAACCAAGCCAAAAAGCAGCGTTTTTTTTCCCCCGGAGTGAAGGCTGCTCTGAGGTGGTGCAGCAATGTCACCCGCGTTTTAAATTGCTGCTGGGTTTCTCCACTAGAGGACTCAGGTGAGATGTTTCTACTACGGCTTCTGCAGTTAAACCACGGGGTAAAAAAAAAAAAAAAAAAAGAGAGAGAGAAAAAAAAAAAAAGCCCAAGCCAACGCTGACATGTGGCTGGTCCATGTAAAATGAATGGAAATGTACTAGTGCATGCGGCACATCCAGACGTGCTCCCAGAACTCCCAGAGAAACACGGGGATGATGTTCAGCTCCCGCTGCTCCACGGCAAATCTACGTGTTTGTTACAAGTGAAGGTTAAATCCAAGACTATGTCTCCACGCTGGGCTGGATCAGAGGGTTCCAGCCTAACACAAGCGCTACATTCCAACACCAGCACTGCACATTAAGCTGGAAAGTAGCAGATAAACAAAGGCTATAGAAGGTACTAGAGAAGGGCCGGCATCACCTCCGATTTCCCAAATGAACCCCCCATCTACGCGGAGCCGTCCCTATTTTATTATTATTATTATTATTATTATTATTATTTTTACACACATGCACACGAGCCCCCCCCTCCCTCCACCACCACCACACATTGACTCAGCTCTTGTAGAACAGAGCGAGAGCATCTGAACCGAGCTCCCACCAGCGGCTTTTTATCACCGCTCTGCCAAAAAAAAACCAGCGCCAACGGTCGGTGGCGACACCAACGAGCCCCTGCCACGGGCGATACGGCGCCGTATCGGCCCCGCTCAACTGGTGCCGGCAACGGCAGGAGGAAAACCCCATCCCTGCTGCTGCTGCTGCTGCTTCCCCGGCGTGGAACCCCGGGGGGGGATCAACCCACGGCCTCCCGAAGGCGAGGGGACCCGGGGCCGGGGGTGCTGCGGCCCCGCAGGTGATGGAGAAGCGCAGGGAGGAGGGAGGGGGGATGGATGTGGAGGGGCACGGGAAGGGTGAACCCCAAGTTCACCTGCAGCGGGCGGGGGGGGGGGGGGGAGGGGGGGGAAGGGGAAACGCATCCATGTCGCCGAGGCCAGGATCTCCCTTACCGCGGGCCCGAAGGGAAAGGAGAAGGGGGGGGGGAAGGGGACTGCGGCTCTCGGGGAGCAACTCGGCAAAAGTCTCCGAGGGCCGCGGGGAGGGGAAGGGGAAAATGAGGAAGGGGGGAAGAGGGCACGGAGAAGGGACACGCGGGGAGCCCGCGGAGCGCTGCGGCACCGCCGGGGGAGGGCGGGCACGGCCGGCCGGGCCACGCGGGGACAGCGCGGGGACACCGGGGGACATCGGGGGGATCGGGGGGCTGGGGGTCTGCCGGGTCCCACCTGCCTCCCTCCCCTGCCTCCCGTCTCCTCTCCCTCACTCACCCTCTGCATGGCTTTCAGGATCAAAGCCAGTTCATAGCGGGGCATCTTAGAGCCGCTGGCGGCGGGAGGCGCGGGGGGCACGGGGCGGGGAGGAGGGGGCTGCGGCGCTGCCGGACAGCAGGAGGAGGAGGAGAGGGAGGAGGGAAAAGGAGGAGGAGGAAGGCGCGTCCCCGGGCTCCTTCCCGCGCGGTCGGTCCCTGCACAGACACCCGGGCGGGCAGGCGCGGCTTAAAGGGCGCCGGCGCTGCGCAGGCTCGGCCCAACCCGCGCCAAGCGCCGCCTCCGCCCGACCGGCCCCGGGGAGGGGGGGGGAGACCCGGGGGCTGCCCCGCGTCCCGGGAGGGGGGCGGGCGGACGAGCGGCTGCGGGCACCGGACCCTCGGGCTGGACCCCGCCGCCCTCCCTTCCCCATGCGGGGCCCGGGGCCAGCGCCCGCCCCCCGCGCCCGCCGCCGCCGCCGCCGCCGCTGCAGGGAGTGGAAATTTCCACGGCGCCCGCGCTCCCCCCTCACGCAGCCCCGAGCCCGCCGTGGCGCGGGGGGGGGGGGGGGGGGGGGGGGGGGGGCGGCCGGGCCGGCCCGTGAGGGGCTGTGAGGGGCCGGGGGCGGCACCGCCGGAGTCACGGGCCGGGGTCGGGGGGCCGTGACGGGCACCCCCTCGCCATCCGCCGGCCCCCGGCGGGGACACCTCCCGCCGCGCCGGGATGCGCCCAGCCCGCGCTAACCTGGGGTCTTCCAGAACCTTCCCCCGTCCCCGGGGCGCCTCAGCGGTCGCGCCCGTTTTGGGTGGAGGTGCCTGAGCCTGTGGAATCGTGGAGTATCCCGGGTTGGGAAGGACCCACGGGGATCATCGGGTCCGACTCCTGGTCCTGCACGGGACGCCCCAAAATCTTACCCTGTCCCTCAGAGCGTTGTCCAAAGGCTCCTGGAGTTCTGGCGGCCTCGGGGCCGTGCCCACTGCCCTGGGGAGCCTGGTCAGTGCCCGGCGCTCCGGTGGGTGCCAGACCCGAGGTTGGCCTTGGTGCTGGGTCCTCCCGGCCAGGGAGGTTCTGGACGAACCCTTCCCAGCTGGGCACACACCCTTGGCATTGTCCTCAGAGCCCAAGGTCAGTGACAGATCCCCTCCGTCAGCAGCACATCCGACACTAGCCTCCAGCCGGGGCTCTGCTGGAAGCTACAACCACCTGCACCCACCAAAGGAGGGATTTGGGAGCTCTGAGGGTGCATCAGGCTTGTTTTGACACTTTTTCTTTCACCTGCAGCAGAGACTTGTCCCTCCAGAGGTATTCTCTGCTCTCACAGAGGTACCGTGTGCCCAGGAGAGACAAGTTTCTGCCCAAGGTGTTGAAGCCCTCATTGCTTGGAAGTCCTCAGAAAAGAGGGATGAGAGAGCAGAGCCACCACGCTGTGGCCAAGGGGAAGCAGAGAAGGCAGCAGAACTCAACATTAAAAAACTTTAATGAACTCTGTGAAATCCCAGCCCATCCAGAGAGGCCTCACATCTCACCTGGGCACCCCACCCGTGCCCTTCCCATACCCAGGGTCGCTTGTTTTCGCTCTTCCTGCACTGGGGTGGTACCACAGCCCCCCAAACAAATCCCGAGGGCGGGTTTTGCAAGCGGAAAACTTCTCCCAGCCCTTTCCACGGTGACTGGCAGCACAGCCAGCCCTGGCACCGCTGTGGGCCTTCCTCCCCTCGAGCAGCTGCGAGTTTGCAGTAGTTCCCAACACATCCTGTGCCTTACAGGCACGACAAGGCTTGGGGGAGTCCTGGGAGCTGCTTTGGGTTCTGCTACAAGATAAATTACCTGTGTGGAAGCGTTTCCACGTATTCCCAAACTCCCACCCTCCTGTGTTCAGGCAGTAATTGCCAGGCAGCTGACAGGGATAATTTACTGCCTCTTGGTGCTCACCACGGCACGAGGCCTCCCTGGGTTATTTTGCTTCCTTTTTTTAAGTCCAGTGTCTGGCCCTGAGCTTCTTCCTCGTTCTGAACAGGGGCCTGGCGAGCTCCTGGTGAGGAAATGCAGGTGGTGGTCACCAGTGGAGGGGTGGGAATGCCCAGGTATCCCAGCCATTCCCACCTTCCAGGTGCACCTTGCCCCACCTGAGCCACGCTGTTCTCTTTGTCACATTTGGAGCTGTGTCCTGGGGCAGAAGGGAGTGGGGAGAGCTCCAACTTCCACTTCTACCGATGTTCTACCTCCTTAAAACACTCCTCTGCCACAAGAAAAGGAAACACATCCAATCCCTGTTCCTGAAGTCCTCTCTCACACAGAACTTTATGCAAATCCCTCAGTCTATTTATTGAAATCTCCAGTGCTGCTTTCAAATGCCAGTGTTTGATTCTCAGTTGGATGTACATTTATATTCCCTGTTCATACTCACTTCTGACCCCATTCCACGTGCCAGCCCCGTAAATACTCATCTGCACGGGGCCAGCAAACCCCCACTTTTTGGGAATCCCACCCACAGCTTTACTTCAACACCGTGTCTCAAGACCCCAAAAACATAAGGCTGAGCCTGAGTCTCGCTTATGTCTATGATGGGATTTGCTCACTCAGGTACAAACACTTGTTCCTGGTTTAGTACATTTATTTATACATTAATACATGCAATATATATTAATGGACACAGCCCTCAAGGGCCCTCAGCAGGTATAAGCTCCCTGGAATCTCACAAGTTTCTTTTTCCTCAAAAAAAAAAACCCTAACCACAAGCATCCAAAGACTGTAGGAAACCCTCACTTAGTATTTAAATGTCAAGGGTTAGAGAGGAAGGTCTGAACAACATGTAGTGGCCATGCCCTGAATGCTCAGTAAGGAAATGTAAACTCCTCTAATATAGATTTATTTCCTTTATTAAGTGACAAGTGTAAACTTTTGACTTGCAAGGCTCATGCCATGACTTTTTCACGCTGGAATTTGGGCAAACAGTCCTCTCTGCATCTTGGTGTCTTTCCCATCCATCCCTGTGCCAGGGAGCAGCACAGAGAGAGTGAATGAATAATGTCACCCTTTCTAATAAAGCACCAGATTAAAATATGTCCTGATGCATCCACTTTGCATATGGAAATACAGAATCTATTAGTTGATAAAGCTGCTGGAAATGTTTTAGGGTTGGAGCCGGAGGGGAGACGAGCTCTGCTCCCAGGGAACAAGGGACAGGAGGAGAGGGAACGGCCTCCAGCTGTGCCAGGGGAGGCTCAGGTTGGCCAGGAGGAGGAATTTCCTGCTGGAAAGGGTGGTCAGGCCTTGGAAGTGGAATCCCCAGCCCTGGAGGTGTCCCAGGAAGGCCTGGCCGTGGCACTCAGTGCTCTGGGCTGGGGGACAAGGTGGGGATGGGGCACAGGGGGGATCCATGGGCTGGGAGGGCTTTTCCAGCCTCAGGGATCCCGGGATTCTATAAAAACACGTGATGCAATATCTTAGAGACTCCTGACAAAGAAGCTGGCCCAGCACAGCAGGGTAAAGATGGAAAACAAAGGAAAAAAAGGCACTTTTAAACCCTCAAAATGCCCATTAACAGCCTCTCTAACCACAACTCCCTCGGGCTCCTTTTGCAGCAGGTCCTGTGTGTGCCACTGAAAAGCCAATTCTCTCCTCTTACTAAAAACTTTACTGTCTACCTACGACATGTTGCTCAATATCAAAATAAAATCAAAATTTATCACAGTTTTAGGACCGGGATGTTGCTTATCTTGAGCTTCAGATCAGGAGGGATTTTTAGAGGCATGAGAAAACAGGGATTGCTTATGGAAAGGGAAATTCCCCTGCCAGGTGAGGTTGGTTTGTGGCCTCTGGACAGGGGGATAGATACAGGTCCAGGCCTGTTCTCCCTGGAGACCAGAGCAGGGACAAGAGGGGGGGAATGTGGAGGAGATTGTGACGTGGTGGTTTAAATTAGGACTGGGATCTAATGAGAGGATGTAAAAGAGAGGGTGAGGGGAAAGGGAGAGGTAAGAATGGATGGACAAAGGCTGGGATAGAGGAAAGGTAGACTTGAAGATTAGGACAGGGGAAGATGGGTGGTGGGAAGGTGAATGGGTTGTGCTAAAAAAAACCAGGAAAAATCATGTGTTTGTGTATCACTGGAGGCCACCAAGATGATCCCAGGGCTGGAGCAGCTCTGCTGGGAGGAAAGGCTGGGAGAGCTGGGATTGTTCAACTGGAGAAAAGAAGCTTTGGGGTGAACTGATTGTGGCCTTGCAGGGCCTGAAGGAGCTCCAGGAAAGATGGAGAGAGACTATTTCCAAGGGATGGAGGGACAGGACAAGGGGGAATGGCTTCCCACTGGAAAAAAAATGTAGGTTTGGGTTAGATCTGAGGAAGGAATTCCTGGCTGGGAGGGTGGGGAGGCCCTGGCACAGGTTGCCCAGAGAAGCTGTGGCTGCCCCTGGATCCCTGGAAGTGTCCCAGGCCAGGTTGGATGGGGCTTGGAGTAACCTGGGCTGGTGGAAGGTGTCCCTGCCCGTGGCAGGGGGTGGCACTGGATGGGCTTTAAAATCCCTTCCAACCCAAACCCTTCCATGATTCCATGATCTTGTTTGTAGGCTCTCTTCAGGCACCCCAAAGCTTCTCCTCTCCAGGCTGAACAATCCCAGCTCTCCCAGCCTTTCCTCCCAGCAGAGCTGCTCCAGCCCTGGGATCCTCTTGGAGCCTCCTCTGGGCTCTCTCCAGCAGCTCCATGTCCATCTGCAACAATAGGATGCTGCGGAAGGAGCTTTGGATTCTTTTTACAGTTCACTTTTTAAAAAGCTGGAGAATTGCAATGTAAAATGTAAAATCTGCTTCAAATGAGGAGTAGGTTGCAAAATCAATGCTCCATAATGAGGAGTGTTATTTCTCCTTCCTCTCATTTGCATAGGCACATGCAAAGTAGATAATTGCCTACTTCTCTTTCCATGGGATTTCTGCCACATTTATTTTGCAGGGTGGAGCAGCTCTGGAGCTGTGTCAGGATGACATAGTGGAGGAGGCTTCTGTCTACAGAAGTTTTTTTCCACATTTGTTTCATGAGACAGAAGATGAGCAGTGGATTTTCCCGGGATCATGTGAGAAAGGATGAGCTCTTGGTCAAACCAGCTGGGATTTGCCCCAGGGATGGATTCAGTCCCTCCTTGCCCACGTAGTTCTTGTGTGATGCTGCACAAGGCAGTTAAACCACACTTCTTGCAGGTGGCCACGAATTTCATGCTCCTGTTTCTGAGGATCAGAATTGACATTTTGTGGTCTCATTTGCAGAAGTGTTGAATGACCCCAGATGGAACTGAATT